AATACCATTATAGAAGAAACTGACAACACTGGATGCTTTATATGTCATATCTTGAGCATGGTCTTCCATGAATCTAATACTAAGTAATACTGGTTCAATCATGAAGGAAACATCTTTTAGATCAGAAAGGACAATATTTGCAAACTTTTCCTAAAAAGGAATCAGGAAGTCCAAAATTCTTGATATGGTGTTTGCTATGAGAAATTTTTAAAACACTGACAAAGGTAATGTTGAAGAATGACTACAGAGCGATGCATGTGAACTGAGCTTCTAGCACATAACAGACACACATTGTCTATGCTGCAAATCAAAAACATGCAAATACAAAATATTTTGGATTATTCATGTTTTCCGATTATTCATGTACTCTCTCCCCATTATTGGCCTGGATAATTGGGGTCTTACAGTATGCTTAAATCTATTGTGACATATAAAACATATAGATTCAAAGTTTAAAATAAATTAACCTGTTCTCATGTACAAACATATCTTTATCCCTAAAAATCATGGATTCACAAGACAGACATGATTAATTGAGTCAGTGCTTTACATGTGAACAAATCAGACTCATAAGTGTGTACTTTTATATTGTGATCAATGCGGTTACAATTCTGTTTGCAAAACATGCAGGCACTTCTGACATTACTGAAAGATTGGAACAGCTTTCAGTATTTATAGACAGCAATGGAAATAATTCAAGGTCAAGTATCTGTATACTTATATCCACCTACAAGAGAGTAATTCAAAGAGTAAACATCACATCAACATGTTCACACTAAAGGTCTAGAACTCTCCATCACCAATGCTCAGACAATTAGACCATATTAGCAAGTTTATTTTTACACCCCAAATTATACATACTTAGTAATGTTACTACATGTCTAGTTAACAAGAGATGGTCAATGTTCATTGAGGTTTTGGAGGAAAATTAAGCACAATAATGAGCATTAACTTCTACAATCACTGGAAAAGGAGGTTTCAGTGGAAAACAGTAGACTCCTGATTATCCAGGTTGGTTGGGAAATATATTTTCCCAGATAAATGAATCTCCAGATAATCCGCAAAAACAAAAGAAAAACATGCAAATGTAACAAATACATAAGTTTATTTGCAGACATACGCTACTTAAATGTTTAAATACTTACTAATAACGGAAAGAATCTTATATAAAATTTAATACAGCACACATTATTTTTTAAAAAAAGATTTCAATGGATAGTAACAACGTTCTATCGTCATAAACATCAGGCTTTGACAACAATTTATTTATGTTAAATAATGTCAATGACAACACAAAAAGGTCCAGACAATGAATAATTTTAAGTGTAATCCACCATTGTCAGAACCCTTTAGAGTTGAAGGTCTTTTTTGTATTTATTCCTTTCTTTCCAAAAGTTCTAACTTTTACAACAGATTTTCTGAATTACTTTTTAATATTCATTTAAACCAGAAAGACCCCAGTTTATCTGCCCCAGGATAATTGGATGTCTACTGTATATATTATATTCAGAGTTGATAAATTACAGGAACACAAAAAAGCACATTGTAACTACAGCTGAATGTCTTGGTTACAGGACATGCAATTACTAATTTTACATGATTCTCACAAAGAGCCATATAAAATTGCAACAGTTTGGTGAAAACATATGTTTAATAGCAAAAATTTTCCCAAACTTAAATTTTACTGACTACATGTGAGTTTGGAAGCAATGCACCACCATTTTATGACATGCATTTTTTGTAAAATAAATTTAGATTTTTAAGTTAACACTTTTAAATTAGGCATCAGCACTGTAAAGCACACTACACTTTGAGCATTTTGTCCTAAAACTAAGCCCTTCAACATGTTCCCTGTGTCACTCAACAAATGACATGTTATGTCATTACCTGACATACAGAAAATAAAACAACTAAGAGCATTATCAAATAATAAAATCATGGACAATCTTACAGGAAGAGGGACAAGATGCCCTTCACACAAACAGATCTGTCCATGGGGCGACACGGTCCAGGGGGAAAACTAACACTGAAAACAAACACAGATATGAATAATGACATAAATAATTAAAGGCAGATACATTGTTTAAGCTGGTAAGCAGTTGAATAGGCACTGCATGTACTTTCACTTTATATGACTAATGCTCAAGCTGTGGGTGTGAATAATTTATAATGAAGGAAAGGGAATGAAGTGGAACTGTTACTTTATTAATATATTTGATATTGAAACTTAATCTTTATGTACTACAAGTATTTCTTGCTTCATGAAAGCTATTGCTCATTAAATGATTTTCACAAGTTGTTTAAATTTGTTTAGTTAATACCACAATATATAAAATTAGCATACAGATAAGTATGTGCATGTAAGATACTAAAACAAATGTTAACTACTTTAATTGTATAAAACAATACATTAAGGATAAGTGGGGGTTTCTCTTCATTGTTAACAATCATATAACGGTGCTCACTTCTCATGTCATCACAAAATGTGTACCTAAAATATTTAAAGTCTCAGAATCTTGTATCATGTTCCTCTACTTCTGATTTCAAAAACTTCACCACATGCCGAATTGAATATGCCTCCTCCGTTCTGAGGCATCAGTTACCATATTTTTTCTTTCCACTCCAGAAACTAATAAACACAATGCTACACCTACCAGACAACATGCTTTCATCTAACACATCATACACTACACACCCATACCAGCACAAATAAAGCTTGCAGAAACACAATCTCGGATGGCACTATATTACTTCATGGATGATTAAATTTTCTTTATACTGCCCACACTGCAGTAAAATTCAGTTACCACATGTTAATATAAATTTAAATTAGCAACGAAACATGAAGCTTGCACATAAGAAATGGTTTAATTTACTCTGCTTACTATGGATACTTCTGTTTAAAAGAATTTTCTTTAATTACATATATATATATTTTTGAACAGTAAACATTCGTCAGCTACTGAATAGTCTTGTCTTTATTTCACACATTAGAAAAGAAGTATGATCTTAATTACACATCTTTACATAATCCGGTAAATTTAACACTAATAAAACATATTATTCTGTTGGATGTACATACAAATCTAAATCTTAATTCAATATATGTAGAAATAAGAATTAGATGAAAAGTGAAAGAATTTTCATGACTATTCTGTCGATGGAAATAAAGTGAAACCTAATTATATGAACACTTTCAAAACGCAGATAGAGAAAATACATAAATTTATATGAACTGCATTTTTTTAAAATAATTTCTAATGTGGAGGTGGACATTAACTAAATCTCAAGATTAATTGTTTAATTACTGACAAAGATGACACAGAACAGAAAGCATTGCTTATCACTAATAAAGATGCTTTTAACTTGAAAGTATGGCTAAAATAAGTGGCATTATTTTTCTGAAAATAAAAAGTACATCTGTTTCTCTGTCAGAACAACAAAACTTTGTTATGTTCAAAGTAATTGCAACTTACCTTATAATGGAGTTTCCATTGTCAACTAGTCAATAGTATTTTAAATATTTTCAAACAAGCAAAAACTGCCTAGTCAGACAACAGCACCCTTTTCTTTATGGACTTAGTTTATGTAAGAACTATGCAAGTCACTGACATTTTTAGAAGGTGTTATTCATAATATTTTAACAAAACATGAAACCTGTAACTAAATGCTGCTTAATGATTTATAATGTCCCAAGTTTTAATCCCAAGAGGAGTGCGTATCAGGTGCTGGTTATTGGTTGTGGGTGCAAGAATTATAAACCCAATACATTTATAGATATTGTTAATTCTGAATGGAATGTTATTTATTTCCTCTTACATTTTCTGATGGTCTCAAAGATAATAATTATTTTCCTCATTTTCAAAAAGATGCTAAAGTTACGGTTTCAGCCAATCAAATCCAAAAAACTAAATCCGTGTATATTTCACATTTACAGAGAGAAAAACAATAATCCTTACATTCAATAGTCATTCTTTTTTTTAACTAAATCCATCATTCAATGTATAAAAATGAAGCCATTATGTTTTGGGGGGTTGGTTCTGCTCCTGTCTTCAGGTGATAAAACCTACTCTGTTGGGCCCACTAGAAGGAAATAATCCCCATCTCTGGAAAACCTTAAGTCAACTGAAAGGTTCTATATCAGCAACTGAAATCAAGCACTGTCGACAGCAGATAGGAAAACAATGAGATAATTTATAAAGATAAAAGTAAATCATTTACTAGTCTGCAAAACAAATCCAATTCTCTCACTCCGCCAAATGATTTCTTCCTGTACAGATGATCCACGGCCATTCATACCAGTACCCAATATAATCAGAAGGAAAATCCTGCAAATTTCCTATAGAAAAATGTAGCAATTTTAAATTCCCTACAAAAATATAAGGCTGGGAAGTAACAGACAGGCATATGACTACTGGTTGTCTGTGCTATTCTAGCTATACTCTATTTCTTCTTTAAAGCTGATAGCACTTGCATGTTAACTGAAGAGTTGGAACAGACTCAAAAAAACAGAAGAGTACAACACACAAAATGGAAATATCCTATAAAAGCAAAGTTGTTTTGTTCATTATGCAGACTTGAAGTACAGATTTTTAGTTACAAGAGTGTAAAGCAGTAATGCATGTCAACATATTACTGAACCATATCTCCTTCACCGAACGTCACGGTCGAGCGGTTAACACTCCCATTTAGTATTCGGGAGGTCTTGGGTTCAAATCTTGGCCCAGAGACCAGCTATCCTGACTGAGTTTTTTATGGTTTTCCTCAGTCCCTTCAGGCAACTGCCAGGATAGTACCTTAAATTATGCCACAACTGCTTCCTTCCACATCCTTTCCAATTCCATATTAACTAACATCCTCTCATTTGATGCTACATAGTCTGAGTTGCTGAAAAAGTATCATTAAATGAACCACAAATAAATTTATCTCCTCCAAAAAAGAGAAGTGTGCATTGTACCAACCTCTCATCTTCATCTTGTTATAACACAATTAAAGCCTACCTGTCATGTAATGAAGGAGGATGGATGTAACTGGGTACATCGCTGGACTATATGTGATTTCAGGGTGAGCATATCCAAGCACACACACTACTCTGTCAGCAACAATTCTACCTTTCCGGGTCAAATGGTATCCAATACAGTGCCCACTCTCCACAAATTGTGGCAGGAGAATAGGTTTGTCAGGAAGTTCTGCAACATAATTACAAACAATTTACTACAAGATAACTCTGCTTTCTCCTGTAACCTCCAGGTTACATTTTACACATTAAATTCCAGTTCCAGTCCACTGCAGACTCAGCAGAACGAAAGTCCCTTGACCTTCATCAATCTGTCATGTGCTGGAAATGCTTGCGTAATTTCCAAACATATACAAACTAAGACAGACTTTCTGAATTTTTGGTTTTATGCATTTTCTACACAAAATTCATAATATGGACACATCAGTAGTCACACTGAGAGTTGTGAAGCAAATTTAATTTTGATGTATACTAGTCAATTACAACTCCTACTTTATATGAATCCAAAACGTAGCTTTACAAAATTTCTCAAAAATGGCTTACTGCATGTAAAAAATTGGTACATGATACAAAATACAAATTTCATTAACTTTATTTTAAAATGAAGCCTGATGGTTGGCAACCCCAACCACACGTGTAATGTCCTGCTAGAATAGTACTTTAAATCCAGCCACAACCGCTTCCTTCCACATCCTTTCCAATTAATTATGAATTAATCATCCTAAGTCTCAAAAGATGAATATTTAGTGAAATAAAACGAAATATAATTTATAAATATACAGCATGGTTAGCCTTGCAATAGTAGAATTGTATCTGCAACAAGTGAATATCAAGGCCAATGAGATATACAAAACTGCAAAATAATTATTTCCTTGAAATCTGACTGTGGAAAATCAGGCTACAGATAGAAGATAAACAAACAAGCAATACAATAACCAACTATAACCAGTAAAGTGCCTATGATATATGAAGAAAATATAAACAGTGAATTATGACAGCTTTGAGTCCACTAAATTGTTGTTGATGCTAGTAAGGGCTGAAAGAAGAGCAGTAACAGATAATGAATCACCTCCTACCAAAGGCCATGTGTTCTGAGCTGCCTGAATATCTAATCAGCCAGTGACATGTTGGAATTGGATTTATCTGGTTATTAAACTAAACCAATCTATAAAATCACTTGACTCACTTTATCCTATGCATTAATAAACACGAAATGACATATGATGATGAAGGGAATAAAAAGATTGCCTCCGAAAAACATGAATAAAACTAAACGTCAGTCCCTTAAATTTCACAGTAGAGACACCAGAACAATTATATAACAGTGGTGGATAAAACAGGAAAACCAATTTTATTATTAATAAATCACTGCAGTTATCATTCTTGTTAATTTTTACCAAAAACTCTTTATATTTACCATAAATATTAGTTAACATACATATTTTGAATGGATATTCTTCTTTTACAATTGAGGATTTTTAAATATGTTTTTCTTCAACCAGCGATAACAAAGAAACACAACAACCCGAGCCTGAATAGTTCTGAATAAATATCAAGTGAATACAAATAGTATCATGCACACCATCCGCATACAGAATGTCTCTGGCCATCTACGCCTTCATAGATATCACACAAAACAAATTTAATTGGCATCTGAAATAATAATTATATGGAAAGCTCTGTTGTATCAGACTTTTAAATTGGCATACATTTCAAATATAAGAATGTATCACAACTATTAAAAAAACATTTTTGATGCTGGAATGGAATCATGTTTCCATGGGATTGTTTTCTACTGTAATGAATGTTGGGCTTCATTTACTAACCACAATTACACCAGAAACAAATGGTAATGCTGCAAATATTGTCGAACAAAACTACTAAAACTTGCAGCAATATGTCTGCAATATGTTCAACTTGAAATGAATATATAAATATAATGCAAACTGTGCAGGATAGTTCCATGTAAAATGAATTTCAACTGATAAGCAATCAAGACAGGTGAAACTCATTACAGTGGATATTCAGGAATCAAATAATGAAGAATACAAAGTAATGGCCTTCAAAACAACAAATATACATGACATTCTAGTTATACAATTAGAGGTTCAGTTAGCATAGGTGAGCTAATTATACCAGCAAGGCTTTAGTGAAAGGCCAAGTAAAATGAATTCACTAACAAAACAAACTTCCCTTTTTGCAAATTACAATTTCATTACTTGTTATGCAACAGCTGACAGTCTACCCAGACATCATACTGTGCTTATGTCAAAGAATGGCAGAGGAGAAAATAATTCTCCAGTAAAGTTCCCATTATTGTTTCTTAAGATCATCTGGCTCAAAAATTGGGAAATAATTCAATCTGTTATGAATTGTATATGGTACATTGTTTCCTTTGGACCTGGAAAAGAAGTATTCAGAACCCCAATGGCCAAAATACTTAAGTGGGTGGAACATTATCCCTTAAACAGTAAATAAAAGATAGTCCAAGAAAACTGTCAGCCATTACAGTCCAATACTGGAGGAGATCTACATAGTCATCAATCATGGTACCACAGAGAGTAATTAGTAAAGTATGAGGATGGACTAGAAAGTAATGCCTCAGGTAACCACTGTGCAGAATAGCTCTAAAATAGAGGCTTTAACATTTTTTATTCTTATCATATGCATTTATCAGGGTAATTGGCCTCATTATCCATGTCAACTTTGATTTCTTTCCTTTATGTAATTATCAGTCAGTGAGGTGACTTATAAGCCTAAAGCATAAGACAAATATATCTTAACTTAGTGTAATACTTGTTAAACTTCAAACAATGACTCTGAAATGGTAAATAATGCGATAAACTTGACCCTTTCATAAATTCACAAAACAGAGCTCAATATTCATCCACTTAAATCACCACTTTAAGACAATTAAATCACAAGATATTCCTAAAAAAGACAACTGCATGGTTGGGGCAATGGACAGTGCCCTACCATCCTTGAGACACAACATAGTATTTATTTAATAGAAGTAGTAATAAATATTAACACATTTAACCATAAAATTAAGATAGACCTTATAACAATATTATCTGCAAAAATAAGATTTCTATCTATCTGCTACTTGTTTAATTTTCTGGTCCATAAGATGCTACTTTGTTTTAAGCGTGTCAGATCTGTTAGGAAAAATACGTCAGAACAGACTGAAGCTTGCACACTGCAAATACTTTATGATCTGATGAATAAATAGTTACTGCAATTATAAATTTTTCACATTAATATGATGGATTCAATACTACCACATAAAATAGGTAAAGAATCTTCAAATTTGTAATGCTTACTGATGTAATTAACATGTAACTTTAAGTTAATACAAAATATTACATTTTTACTCACCTGTTGTGCCAAATATTTGGTTGACCATATCCCAATAGAAGCCTTCAAGGATGGATTTGTCATGTGCATGTTGCTGACAGAGAACTGGCCACAATTGGGAACGGATGGTACTATTTATTGGCCAGGCATTATCTCTAATTATTTGCTTCACTTCACGTTTTCTTCCTGACTGCAGGAGGCCATAAAGTTCGTTGTAAGTCTTGAGAGCAGGCTTTTTTGTCGGACTATCCGTTAGGATAGGAATACTACTCGTGTCAACATGAGGTGGAAATACCTCATATATATCTGATTCTTCTTCCAGAACTGACAGCATGTTGGGCATTACTTCCTTGGTGGTAAAATGAGCATGATTTTTTATAGTAGGAAGTTAGGTCTGATCTTGCAGCATTCTTCAACCTGTAACATGAAAATTGTATGTGAGATTTCAGTTCATCATGGTAATGTGTGGTTTTCAACAACACAACCAGAATGGCCAACAGAAATTCTGCGTTCAAGGGGCTTGCCACAAAGGTGATACTTCAATCGGAGGCTCAACAAGTTTCATTGCAGTTGGGACAGTATTTTAGTTATACCTTTATGCTTGTCTTGATTGAACAACTGTGGTTACAATGTTGCTTGGCTGTGTTTTTGTTGTTATACCATATTTTTGCTGTGGACTTAATAGACTAACAGATTATTTAGATGCAAATGTTAAAAACAAGCAAAAGAAACACAAAATGTCACCACCCATGTCCTGTCTTTCCTAATTATTTTTTGGCCAAACCAAAGTAATGAATTTATCAATGTCTGAAGGCTTGACATTCTGCAGAAGTTCTTGGAATGTCGATTGTATTGCTTTAAATCATTAAAAAGTTGACAGTGGAACCACGGTTCCGGAGAATTTGATGTAAATACGTCTATATGGAAAGGAAGTTTATATATTGGCTTTATTCTAAATATTTCCTTTATACATGCTTTAAAATTGAGATAAATTTGTTTAAGACATTGCTTAATCAACTTGAATTAGTTACGCTTAAAATGGGTCTGTGGTAGCTGACTGTAATGTAAGGTAATGTAAGGTAAGGTAATGTAATGAAATGTTTTATAGGTAACAACAATGCCGAGTAAACAGATGACGTTTCCTAGGTAACAAAATTGCCGAGAAATGTAACGTTTCCTAGGTAACCATTATTGTCGATTTGTTGATAAACAGATGAAGTTTCCTAGGTAACAATAATGCTGAGTAAACAATTGACGTTTGCTTTTTAACAATAATGCCTAGTAAACAATTGACGTTTCCAAGGTAACATAACAATGCAGTTACACTTTTTCCTTTCACTTTTTCGTTTCACTTTTTGCCGAATGACACTAACCCTAAAATATAGACGTATTTACGTCAAAAAATCAGTTCCACTATAGTGATTTCTACCTTGAAAATGGATGTAAACTTTCTATGATTAGCATAGCTCAGTCAGTATAGTGACTGACTACAGATTGGACAACTGGGGTTCGATCCCCGACGGGGGCAGAGGATGTTTACTCTAGCCTCTGCATCCAGACCGGTTCTGAGGCCCACCCAGCCTCCTATCCAGTGGGTACCAGGGTCCTTTCCTGGGGGTAAAGCATGGCCGTGATACTGACCACTCACCCTTATCTAATTCTGAGGTCAAGAAAGAGTAGGAGCTATACCTACTCTACCCCCAAGCGCCTACATGGAGTACAGTGGGACAGCTTTACTTTACTTTTAGTTCATATTTATTTTGTTAACATGGAATGCACTATAAAAATTACAGCATTTGCAATAATAAGATTTTCATCATTCATTTTACAGACTGATAATGAATAATTCCAGATACCACACAAACCATACTATCTCAAGTCTGCCAATTCATCTCACACCTGAATTCATAACTTTATTCATAAGCATCATACCATACCTAACCTGTCACCACATAACCTCTGTAGCTGTGCAGTATGCAGAATTACTACACAGGATACAAAACAGAGGTACAAGTGTCAGAAGTAGGATATTTTTCATTATGTGAAGAAAATTTATATTTACAGTTTCAGGATGGTATGTATAGTATTTAAAGTTACAGCAGCATAAACCGTGGTTTGACAAAGGTTATTCAAAACTATTAGGCAAAGAGAAGCAGCCTTAATCCATTGGTTGCAGAATCCAAGCCAAGTGAATGGAGATAACAGGGACAATATAGGACATGCAGCTAGCAGAATGAACTTTTAAGAGCAAAAAATACAGAATATATAAAAAGACAAAATCAATGAGCTTGAAACAAACAGTAAGAACAAAAACACCTGAACAGAGGCATAAAATCTTTGTAAATGATGAGAGTGGTAATTATCCTGCAGATTTCTACAGTAATTTAAATAGGTGGAAGAAATATTTTGTCAGCTATTAAATGTACATGGGGTTAACAATGTTAGAAAGAATGAAATATATATGCAGCAAAGCCATAAGTACCTAAGCCTATCTTTCTGAGGTTGAGACTGCTACTGAAGAGTCAAAAATATACATTAATTAGTATACATGCTGAGAAAATGGGAGAAAAATCAGTTGGTTCTATGAAAATTGAATACTTTCAATGAGAAAATTAGCTCTGTTTCTTCTATTTAAATCATATTAAAATAATTACAGATTTGGATTTTGTAGAAAATATTGTTAACAATATTTCATACCGTTGTATTAATTTCTAACACGCCTTTCTCAAAATAAACTGTAAACATGTGACCAACCCTGTTGAAATTAATACTAAGCCAACACCACACTTGCCCATAAAGAACATACAAACCTGATATTTTGTTGCACATAGGAATTGATTTTTCTATCCACTACATAATTATCGCATTATTTTACAATAAAAGTAATAACTCGGAACACAATTACACTTTGGGCCACTCTTACACATGTTTCGCTGTATTTAAATAATTACGTTATTGTAAATGTCATCAAAACTTAGTGAAGTAAAACACTTATATTGAAACATCCAAGCTATCCAATCAAATAAAACTTACGTCCCTCCTATAACTTCGCAATAATTTGTACTTTACTGTCTCATCAGCACACATACACATTTATTAGTTAGAACAATCCTTGGTATACCACCATCTCGTAATTTTATCCCTTAATTCGGTTTTACAAATCGTGCAATTCGTCAATAACTACTTATTGAAAATCACGAGCCGTTTGATGACTGGCTGCATTTGTTTACAAGTTCTAACAAGTTACTAGTGTAACAAAGCTTCCACGATCATTCAACCCATCTAGTAATTCATAAATTAGAAGGGAAGCTTGTAGTGGAAGTACTTCGTAGATGGCAGCACAAATTCGATCAATATATGGGGCTGTGAGTAAGATGATACAAATAACTCAAGTGTGGAATTCAAAATATTTTAATTCAGGGCAAGAATATTCAAGTCTTTATGAAAAAAACAAAATATGCTTGAATTAAATTAGTTTTGGGGAAGGGAGGGCGTAGAGGAGGGGGTTAAAGCTTCGTGTTTAAAAGTATTTTATGAGTTAGAGATGTGAAAAATACCATATATTTGATGCAGCTACAGAGTTTAGACTGAAGGACGAAAAAATTAACAAACAGATCCATGTTATTTTCCACTTTACCTACTAGCCTGGGTCCAAGTAGAAACCTTGATGAGGTAAAGTGGAAAAAGTATTATCTAAAAGCTCCACAAAAGAGAATAGAATTTATTTACATTCCATAGATCCTTCATAGGCCTTAGACAAAGCTGTAGATCTTGGCATAGCACAAGTACAATACTTGGGTGAAATAACAATATAAATTACATAATTATGACAGTAATTTACACTCAACTACAGTATTATTACAAAAATTATTGCACAAGAAAGCATATCCACTATTTAAGATTTGAGGTTTTCACAGCGGTGAGTATGAAGACGGAAATCTTCATATCCACTATTGCTTACATGTATTAATAATGGTAAAGAATTCTTGGTTAAGGTATTGAACCTTGAGGAACTCCATGTTTAAAAATGCCTCAATTTGAATAGATGCTGTTATTTGAATCAGGTGATTTTATTTCTACTTGTTGCCATCTGCCATCAAGGTACAATTTAAAACACTGACCAGCTATATTTCAAATTCCATAAAAATGTAGTTTTGATAGTGATAATTCGTGATTCACATGATCAAATGCTTATGAAAGATCACAAGATATTCCACTAACATGGATTTTATTATTAAGAGCACTCAAGATTTCATTTGTAAAACTCAGTTGACAGACTTTTCCCAAATCCAAACTGTTCATTTGCAAGGACATTGTTAAAAAGTCACTTACTCTCTCAAATATTTTATAGAAAGCTGCTTATAATTAAACTGGTCTTAGTTTGATATGCATGGTTTTTCACCTTTTTTATATAGAGATTTTACTTGTAAATATTTAAGTCATTCTGAAAAAACTCCTGCTGCCTCTGATTGATTGCAAAGATAACTTAAAGGATCACTAATGTAGTCTGCACAGCTTTTGAGTAAATTTATTGATATTTCATCATAACCACATGAATTGTTTTGGTCTAGATGAACAGAAATGAGGGAAGAGAAACAGCTTTAAAGACAGTTATGTAAAAAGAATATGAAAGTTGTTTCCTTTGAAGGCCAACTCCTATTTATGAGCTAAATATATGAATTAGAGAGACCAGCAGTGATAAAAGATAAGGAGGGACAACTGGTATAAATGCATATGAAGGGGGTACACACAGAATGTTCTTACTCTGAAAGTCCATAAACTACATTCCACATCATAGTGATAAGTTATTCCTCAAACTTAAAAACAATCTGTACCTTTCAATATGTTAGGATGTGTTCAAGTCAAAGTGGTCTTTTTCAAATATATCCTACCTTTTCTTCCATCCAGAAGCTTTCATTATTGCTAATTGGCACTCTATTGGACATCCTTTGGTCTGGCCTCTGAATGTACCTTGTCCTTGTCCTATGAGGTAGCAGCATAAAAAGGGTCCCCTACCCGCACCCTTCATACCGCTTGCCCAATGTAATGTGTAGATAACACAAAAACATATACACCTACCTTTTGTGAAATAACATCCCCTCATTAAATGTCATCATGATTAGAACTTACCATCTGCTCATTCTCAAATAGCCACAAACTGCAAACCCTTCCCTTCCTTGTAACAATCTACCAGTTAAATCTATAATAGATATACTAGATTTCTTGCATAACAGCCCATTACATTTAGGTAATGACTTCCTTTCTATATAATAGTACTATGATTACTCTCATAGGTGTCATCTACTTGTTCTGCATACAGTTCAATTAACTGCTAGCAACAACATATTCTTTAACAGTAGAGACAGTTACATAATACACACACATGCACACACACACACACTGTCCACTGACAGGTCTTCCTCTGTTGAAACTTCCTCTTAGTAAATTCTGATTTTTCAGTTACCATCTGGATTACTCATGTATGTATGTAAATGGGATGGGTGCCTAACCATCACTGTGACCATTTCTGATCTTTTCTGCATCCCTATTCACTTAATCTGCTAGCAGCTCCATACCTCCCATGAATTACAGTATCCTACATAGCAGGATCTCATAACTATCTCAGCTTACTGATAGCCATAATCAAGGCCTCCCTCTAGATCCCAGATCTCACAGAGTCCCTGAATCTTTGTGGACCTCTTTAACTATGCAGATCTGGGCCTTTTAGGCACCCTGATCAGGGCCTCCCTAAACTGGATAGTACCATAAGCCCCTGTACTACCTCCCTCAGATCTCAATTTTAAGCTTCCTCCTGGCACTTCCAGACACTTGGTCTATGCCAGATGAAACCTATCTACCTGAAAGGCCACATATTGTATGTCACCCTCATCCACAGGTTTGATGGAACCACCAGCTCTTTGTGGTGGTATGCCAGAGCCAATGAATCCCAAGGACATGACCTCCATATATGGCAAAGGTAGGTTTCTCACAGCTGGTCAGACCCTGGTCTCCTCAGGTACACCAGGTTGGCTCATACTGTCAGCTCCCTGAGATGCCTCTCTTAAATTGGCATTGCTCCATGATGCTGCAAGGTTGTCATCCACTATACGGGCCACCTTCGAACATTTTATGACAGTCCTTGAAACTAAGATCCCACTCAAGTACCATAGACAGAACAAGGGTTGTTCACATTAAACTGTCTCAACCATCTATAAAGTAAAGTTTGTCCCACTATACGCCATGTAGGCATTTGGGGTGAGTGGAGGTATAGCTCCTCTCTTCCTTGACCTCGGCACTAGATGGGGGTGAGTGGTCAGCATCACGCCCCGGCCGGCTTTACCCCCGGGAAAGGACCCCCGGTACCCATTGTAGAGGAGGCTGGGTGGGCCCCAGAGCCGGTCTGGACGCAGAGGCTAGAGGAAAATCCTCTGCCCCCATCGGGGATTGAACCCCGGTTGTCCAGCCCGTAGCTAGTCACTATACTGACTGAGCTCAACCATCTATAGTGTTCTTATCATTGATTTCCCAGATTGTTGGCAAACTTTGATTTTAGCCTGCTGATCAATTCATTTTCTCTCTTCACAGTCTTCCACACATACTGCATTCTCCTCTGGGACCTATCATGCTCACTAATCTAAAGACGACGGACTTGTTCTGGTGCATGCCGAGAGCATGCCCGTCTCGAAATGAATGGGCAGACTTCAGCCTACTTGCCACACTGTTGTTCTCATAGCTGCCCCATATAATATAATTAGTCATGTTATGTAATCTTATGTAAGTTTATTAATACCTAAAATAATAATGATAATCTTAATACAGTTAAAATTTATTGCCATATGATTCGTAATCTGAAAATATTGATAATGAGTAGACCATAAGTAATAAATGATATACTTATCTTTATTTTGTCATTAATATAAATACTTAGTATCAACCAATAATTTGCTGGTGCCAGGGAAAAGGGATATATGACTGCTACTTTACAGTCAAAATTTCAAATTACCTGTAATTTAGCAAACTGGAGCTTATGTTCATGAATAAACTGTAGGATTATATTTCTTTAAACTTACCAAAAATTGTTTTTAATTTCCTGAACTTAAAGACTTATACTCCTTTACTCTGGCACTGGTGAATTGTACAATTCAGACTGCCTGGCCATTATATAATTTATATACAATGCCTAAGCAGTATGTGATACAGAGTACAAATTACTTTCCACACAGGTCAGGTGTTTTTAAATATTTCACACATTTTGTAGAAATTTTGTGAAATGCCAGATTTCATCTGTGGCTATTAAGATATACATTCATGTATCAGGACTGTATTTATATGCCACAACTTATTCACAATTTACTGTATAATACAAAATGATACCACCACACTGTAAATGAACACCTCTTATAAATGTCAGAAATACTGCTCAAGTTGGGCAGAAGAGTACAATTTTACATTTTAAAACTTACATGAAATAAACAACATCGAATGAAATTGGCTATACTAACCTAAGTTTCCTGAAATAAAATTATTATAAAACTGTAGAGCTCTGTATGAAAGCACTCTACACAAGGTTTGCCTGAGTGTACAGAACCGTGGTCAACTTGAGTTCATAGTTTCAGAGTTCAGAAATAAATACAGTTCTGTACCATGAAAATATGAATATCATAAACATGCTGAACATTTTTCAAAATAACTTTCAGTAACATAAATGTTGTAGGACTTAAACTATAAACAAGTACTACTGACATCACACAAATAGAGTAGGAACCTCAGATATGTGGCCCACATTGGTCCTTTCACAGCCACTGATGAAAGAAAACAAGAATGTCAGAGAGGAATTTACAAAACCTATGTTCTTTATATGCTTCTATCTGCCTAGACAGGTTAGTATGACATATAAATAATTAACAATAATGTTCCTTAGTATTCTACTTTGATACATATGTTCCCTCCAACCGTAAGGTTGCAGACTTCACCTCATAATATTGCACTGTCACAAAGTTGAGTGGTGTTAACATGCAACACGGAATGTTTCAAGCAAGATTTGTGGATGTATTTGATCTACTGCCACACCACACTTCACATTCCTAGTTACTATGGGTCTTTAGATATTGTCATCAAATTAAGAACCTAATATAAAACTGCTGTGGCCATAATGTTGGCTGAGGTAGTCTCCAATAGCATACCAAATCTCATGAAAACTTGTATATACATCTGAAAGTTATTAGAACAGAATCATGCACTTACAGTAAGAGCAACAAGAGGAACAATTGCTGTACAGTCATGGAATTTTGTTTGGTTATATATTATGAAAAAATATGCAGATTTTTTAAAAATTATTTCTTCTTGAATGTTATAAAACAATGTGGCAACCACATAAAGCTTCCTGCTTGAGAGCAGTAATTAATGAACAACTGCAGCTAGAAATGTAATGCTTGGTATACAGATAGGTCATAAACATCATTTTGTATGAAGTTTGTTATAAATTAGAGATTGATAATAATGAACATTTTTGAGGTTCTGTCTGACAACTTTTAGATAATATAAATCAGTACTGTAATGCCAGAAAATACTATGCACAAGAAGAGACTAATAGGTTGTGTTATTACTAAAGTATGGTATGGAATATGGCCATGCCAGGGTTCTCTATTTTTATTTCATCATATTAAAAAGGGTTTAAAACAATCAAGTACCTGCACCCACTATATAAATCATTTAGTTACATTAAACAATACTGTGGTCTTTGTCTTTTATCATGTGCACCAGAAAATAATTATTTTCTTAAAGCATGCTTTTGGCCATACTTCATTACCAACCAAAACCTTCCTCCTAAAAAAATTTGCAAATTCAAATATATAAGCAAATAATTAAGACACATGACGTCTGATCCTTCAGTTCCCATTGAATTTACACATGAATGAAACTATTGAAATTTTCTACCTCATGCTCATGGGCAACAATGCAAACTCTTTTTGCTCCCTTTTGGCCTAGGACCATTGGTTCTTTGTGAAGACATAAACTGCACCCCTTTTTGTCAACAGTGTAAATCCATTCAGAACTGTCCATTACATCTAACTGCATTAGAAATTCTTTTAATTTCATATTACCTTCATTTGGTATACTTCATTTTTCTCTGTCAAAAGGCGATCTAACAGAGAATGACATAAAATCAAGTTATCCCATATAAAAGAACAGAAATTTCCCTTTCAATTCGGCTCTATGTAAATGAACATATTTATTCTTTTTTAATTGTTTTTAAAGTTATAAGTTGCACCGTTTCCTTTGTTCTCCCGACATATAAATCGTGTCTAACAGCACACACTGCCATGTAGCCTGGAAACTGTCTCACTAAACATAACATGGACAATATTTGTAACCTATTGGTGCATATTTCCATTGAAAATTTGGCAGAGACTTTGCCATATTTCCTGCATTGGCCATATTCCCTTTAAGTACCTTATAATTCTTGAGAGTCTCTCTCTACAGGTGTCAACAATGAAAGGGAAGATTTTCCTATAGCTTCTTATAAAAACATTGCTTTATTTATTTATTTTGGCCCAATGCTTAGGTAAAGAAGCCATAATTAAATATTAATGCAACACTTTGATTTTAAAATTCAGTTGTAATATGGCATGTGTGCTCTGCATTGTTATAAATCTTGCCACAGAAGTATGCTGGTGATGTGTCTCGTAACCCCTTCCTACTTTAATGCCAATCTCACTTTCATGAGTTGTGCCACATTTTATAAACATGGCCATGGTAACCAAATCATGGCAATGTAGCCATCTAATGTAATGTTTAATACCACTATGAAAAATGAGGTTAACCAGTAATTTGGATTTTTCTTAAGATTATGTTCAATGTGATGCTTTCGACATACACACTTCAAATCCATTTTTCAGGCTATAATCAATAAACATGTTTATCTCTGTTCTTCACACCTCCATATTAGTACTGCATTCACTTGTTCTGTTCTGAGTGAGAAAGTTAGCTCCAATAAAACTGTTGCTACAGATAATAAATATAACATTTATCCCAAAATTATATCTGGCACTGTAGAGCCCAATCTTTATGATGGAATGTAACAAACTTGAAAGAAGAACAAGTGAAGGTAACGTTATTTTAAGTGCACTCTGAATCATGAAGCTATAGAAACTTGTAGTGATAAATTTCCAGTAATTATTTATCTGTGATAAATGTCAGTATCATGCACAAAATTACCCTCTACATCAGGAGTCAGCAACGTTTTCATTAGTGTGGGCCGCATTGGCTATTTTTTTTTGAGAGCACAGAAAAAATTCATAATATTGTAGACACTAAACAAAACTGTAACTTACACGAGTATAGCTGTGCAGCATATTTAAAATCACAATATACTTACAAATATTTTCCTTATATTTGTTCTTTAACAAAAGTCATGTTATTACTATTTCTAAACATACATAGACCTCCAAATGAAGAAAAACTTGAAAGTTCCACAAAAATACACAATGTGTACAGTAATATCATTAAATTATATCAAACAAGGAATCCTACAACAATTTAGGCATTTTTTTATTTCACAATATTTTCAGAACACTAATTGAAAATGGAGCAGTTTCTAACATTCAAAACTAAGAAGGAGCAAATGTTTACTGTGATTTTTGTACAATGTCTTCTGAAAGTTTGCAGATGTTTGGTTGTGTTCATTGTGGCAAACCTTAGTTGCTGCTGTCACATGTTCATTCATTGGAACAAAACTTGTTTTTTTAAAAAATTAAAAAAAGAGAATGTCTTGCTCATAAATATAAGTGCTTGCAAACACTGTTGTGAATTTCCTTATTTTTGTAAAGATTTCAGAAGGAACTTCAGAATAAAATATCTTCAGGTCTGGGGTTTCAAAGTAATTTTTCAATGAGTTATTAGTTAGTAGTTCTGTTACTTCCATTTGAAGTCTACTTCGAACGGGGTTAGGAAAAAACAGAATTTCACTGGAAAGTCATTGAATCTTGCTGAGAATTTGTTTGGGAACACTTGAATAATTTCTGAACATTTTCTCCAGATGATTTGAAAATACTTTTAAAGGAAGGGAAGTGGGTCAAGTTCACTCTTCAACATGTTTATTAATTTTAATTTCATGTCAAAAGCTATAATATCTGAAAATACATCAGCAATGATTTTTCCTTTTCCCTGAAGCTTCATGTTAAACTCATTCTGAAAAGATGTTATAACGATGCAATAATTACGGATCAAGAATTCTGCATCTGATAGTTGAGGTACTTTTTTTCTCTTCTTATTCATGAATATCTCAATTTCTGTTCAAAAAATAATTTTTAGCACATTGCCTCTGTTAAGCCACCTTACTTCATTGTAACAAAGTACATCACTAATAAAGTAATAAAGTACATCAGTTTCCTCCAAAAAATGTTTGAACTGCTGATGATTCAAACCAAGCCTTCTTAAGAAGCCGGTGGTAGAAATTACAACCTCCATGATAGAATTCCAATTCAGAACTTTACTACAGAGGACTTGCTGATGAACTACATAGGCACATAGTTCTCTTGTATCACTTCACTGATAATGTTGGCAACAGCACCAATTTTATAACCACAAATGTTCTTCGCACTGTCTATCATTATACTTATTTCAGTCCTAGTGAATTGTCACTTTATTGAATGTAAGTTCTTCACGATGAGAAAAATTTTCATATTCCACATATGAATATCAAGTGTTGAGCAGCATCTGAGACATCATTACTTTAATCCAAATGTAGAGAACAGTAAAGAAATGACTTTAATTTTCTTTCAAGTGGACATGTAAATTGGTCCATACACTTTATTTCTCATGTCACTGTACACACTAAGAGACTGAAGCCTTGAAATAGCTTAATTTTCTCTGTACCGAGATCTTCAACAGTTCGCATGATGCACAATTTAACAAATTCAGAGTTTTCAAGAGGTGTTCCTCCTTTAGCTAACTGTTCATCCACTTGTCAACTGGTATGGACCTCAGCTTTAGTTTCATTGCAGTATATTTGCAATATATATTATTACAATATTTTCAGAACACTAATTACATAAAGACAATTTCAGTGAGTTGATTTTTTCATTTGTAGCTGGCCAGTAAAGCAGCCATCATGCCTTTTGTGTTTTGTTTTTAGTTATGTTTCAAATTGTACTCTTTGAGAACTGACATGCAAGTAAGATAGGTGGACTTACCACTGTAATAGGTGAAGAAGTACTTCTTTGTCCATTGTTCTTTAAATATTTGGTCTTCGCCTATACCTTTCCCTTTCTTTGTATTTGTATTTTCTGTATTTTTGTTTTTTAGTAGTAGTATTGATTGTAGGCAAAGTATTATTAACAGTGACATGACATTATAAAGTATAAGGTAAATTTTTGAAATAGTATCACAATCAAAAGGAGACACTTAAAAATTTATTGTAAAGGTGTTAATTGTTAGCTCTAAGGCATTTTTCAATATAAGCTTTTGTTAATATTATAAAACTTCAGTTATTAATATCACATTCATCTCGTTTTCTTAAATGTCTTATTTTTATTAATTTCGTTAAAATATTGTTTAGCCTTACATAATGTGTATATATTCATATAATTGTTCTCCTCAGTAGCAATAAGTTTCTGCCCTTCTCGCACTGGCTAATTCCCAAACCATGTGATGGACTACATAAGAACTTTTCAAGGGGTTGCCGACTACTCTACATTAATAATCTATCGACACAAACCAGTTAACAATATTAACTAACCCCACAGAGAAAAATCCTTGAGAAACTAATAGCTACGCAGCTAGTGAAGAAAGGTCAATAACAGGTATTAAAGAAGCATTTTGGGTATCATAACCATATAATTACAGAGTTTAAAAATATAGTATTCCATTAATTCTTTACTTTGTTTAAAAAAGCAAAATGCCCCTATAGCAGCCATCGTCCAATTGCATGCTTCAAGGTCACAGAAGGAATTCATGACTGCATGCTTTGTATGCTAACCATCTCACCCTTCTTGATCTGATTATGCTAATAACATCTGGTGAGTACAAAATTTGGAGTTCATCATACGTTTTTCTCACCCTCTTATCACGTCATCCTTGGGTCAAAATATTCCTCTAAGCACCCTGTTATGATATCCTTTTATGAGAGAGACCAGGTTTCATAGCCATACAAAACCTAGGTGTAGGTGGGAAGATAACATTAAAATGGATCTTACGGAAATATGGTTTGAGGGTGTGGACTGAATAAATGTGGCTTAGGACAGTGTGGGCTCTTGTGAATACAGAAATAAACCTGCTTCCATAAAAGATGGGGAATTTCTTGACTTGCTCAGCGTAACATCAGCTTCTCTGTTCTATGGAGATAAATACTTTGTAGAATATTTTATAGGTTCAGGTGTTACATTTTTGTAGCTCCATTCTTATTTTGACAGAACATGTCCTTAATTCTGCTGTATGTCTGAATATAATTCTGTATCTGTGTGAAACTTGGTCTCATACATTAAGAGAAGACACAGATTGAGGGTGTTTTAGAACAGGGCGCTGAAGACAATGTTTGAACCTAAGGAGGATTAAATAACAGGAAAACATAAAAAACTGGATGGTAAAGAGCTTCATAAATTGTACTCTACATCAGTGTTTTAGCACGATAAAATCTAGGAAGATGAGATGAATGGGATATGTAGCAGACACAAGGGTCATAAATGTGGACAACCATTCAGAAGACCTTAACACAGATGAGAGGATAATATTAAAATTGATCTTTAGGGAAAAGTGTAGGAGGGTATGAACTGGATTCATGTGGCTCAGGATAGGAACTGTCATGAACACAGTACTGAACCTTTGGATTCTATACAAGGCAGGACATTTTTTAACTAGATGAGCAACTATCATCTTCTCAATCAGGATTCTGTTCTATGTAGTTAAATAATTATTTATTCATGTGTTATTATGTGTGTGTAATTGGGAGGATATTAACCTTCACTGTACAGAAATTTGGCATTCAAACCTCTGACACTGCTGGCCGAACTTTAACTCCAGTGTGTAATGCTTTAGCAGCATGCTACTGTGATGCACAGCAAGCTGGAACACATATAATCCATGACGCATAATTGATAAAAGTTAATGGAATGGATCTTAAAGATATAGATCATGAAGATGAAAACTTGGTCGAACTGGATAAGTACAGATTTCAATGTAATTATATATATATACATATTTAGATCCACACACTTTCTCAGTTAACAGATTTTTAATCTTTGTAAAAATGAAGTTTCAGTGTACTGGACTGAAAGTTAAAAGTCGTGCAGAGTTCACCCTTTTGACAATACTGCAGCACAGCCATGGGAGCCACACATAAACATGTTTTGGCATTAAAACAGAGAAGACATTGGAGACACTATACTGTGACTGAACCTTCTAAAATGCAAGTTTTTCATAGCTACAAAACACTGTGCCAGTATCAGCAGTTTTTATTTTAATACTTTCAATCTAAAATCATTTCATATTTAAAATTAAATTGTGGAGGAAACTATATTTTTTTAGTATCTCCATGCCTGACTAGGTGTACACACACATTCTGCACCTTCTTCCAGCTTGGTATTCTACTCACAAAATATGAAGGCAGAAAATTACAACTCTAGCTTCCTCTGGTAAATACAGGTACCTGTGATTGGTATGTGCTGTGATGATTAGTCGATCATTACTTCAAAATGAACAGAACCTTCCCTGTCGCCATGCGAGTACAAATATGCTATATTTTTGGCCCATGCTCTGCATTCTATATTTATGAGAGTATTTACTGAAAAACAGAAATTAAATTAAGATCAGCTTATGAAAGATGATAGCAAGAACATCACTGTAACTTCAATGTTCAATATACGAGGATCGTCCACAAAGTACGTTTCCCTGGGGCCGTTTACAGAAACAAAACACAATTTCATGGAAATATTTATTGCAACAGATACAGCAAGTGTCCAGCTATTTTTCAACATATTCGCCACCGGAATTGAGACATTGGTCATACCGTGGGACCAACTTTTGAATACCTGTGTCGTAGAAGTCGGCCGCCTGGGATTGGAACCACTGTGTGACAACCATCTCCGCCTCTCTGTCATTCTCAAAACGCTGACGCTGACCGGACAGGAATTTCTTGAGGTGTAGGAAAAGATGGAAATCACTGGGAGCGAGATCCGGGCTGTAGGGTGAATGATTAAACACCTCCCAGCTAAACTCCTGCAGGAGACTTGCTGTCCGTCGAACCGTGTGCGGCCTAGCGTTATCACTGACCGCACTTCACAGGCGGCGGGAGCTGGAATAGCAACAAATCTGTACATTCTCTATACACTTTTCACTTTATCATTATCTAAAAAACAAAGTATTTAATGAAGATGGCTGTCTTTTGGATTGTGGCACCATGTAGTCTAGTAGAAGTTTACAAACATTAGAGGTCCTTGCTGATGGAGGTCACAAGGACCCCTAAAACAATGGTTTCTACCAGACTATACAGCATTACAACCCAGAAAATAACCACCTCTGAACTCACCAACATGAGAACCTCAAATTAAACAACACTTTGTGCCAAATGCGTTTCGACCTCAAGAGGTCATCATCAGTGGAAAAAACATTAAGTCATGAATTAAAGTGTTATTTAATGTGTAAACAGTTTTGTTTGTATATATGATTTTATATATCAACACACTGCACGGTATGCAAGGTTTTAAGATTATGCTATATACAAATAAATGCTCATCTCATTAAAATCATAAGTGAATGTTCAATACTCTGTGTCTAAAAAGGAGACGGGCTATCATGTAAAATGAAAATCCATGTGAAAGCACACACTGGTATTTAAAATATTTTGTTCCTTCCAATTAAAAATTAAATCTGTGGCGTAACAGCTCCAGAGAGCCAAAGCCGACTAGCTTGACTGCTGGCCTCACATTCCAATGCTTAGGCAGAGGTGAACGATCATCCAACCAGATACAGGTTGACGTGTGGTCAGCACGATGAACCCCCAGCCATTGCTAGTTTTCATGACCGGATTATGCTACTCATTGTAGCTCCCCAATTTCCTCACAATGCTGGGTTGGCACCGGTCGAAAGCTCATGAGAAAATTTCTTCTCCCCCGAGACTCAAACCAGCACGCATTCCGTATTGCCGGTCTGAAGCATGATGCCTCAGACCGCGCGGCTACGGCGCGGGACTGTTCCTTCCAATATATAAATAAAATTATGATGGTATAGTGATGTTTAATGTGTTTCTTCCAGTAGAAGTCATAAACACAGAAATGTATGGCGACTCATAATGACACTTTATGGTTATGGAAAAAGCTGAATTAACATGTCTCTCCATACACCACAAATTGTTTTCTATCTGCTGGCTCCTATGTCTGCCAAATGATATACAAGAATCTCAAACATTTTTCTTTTCCTTTCTGTTCCTTACTGGGACCATAGTTCTATTACAAGGAACAATTCCATTGAGGCAGAAAATTGAATGTTCCATTATTGAAATGAGAACAGATCCATTTATTTCCAAACACCAGTCAGGCCAAATTTATTTATACAAAAAGTTTAGTGATACTAGAATAAAAATTTGTTTCAGTAGCAGTTTATTTTTAATATCAATACTTGTATCATAATTTAGTTTTGTTCAATGACTTCTTTAATCACCTCCTCCTCAAAATGGAATTTCCAGAAATGGCTACAGACAAACCAAATTTTAATTTGTTCCTTGTAAACAACTTGCAAGATGCATAGACTTTTCATGTTAATTATAATACTAAAGTAACTAATTAGGTGAGTAGGTAAATAAATTTGTAGAAAGAGAAAAGAGTGAAATATTATGAAAATGACTCACATTGTGGCCTTGCCAGATGTACTGCAATAAGAGGACTCAGATATCCATCTACATTTTTGTAAGGATAATAGTAACCAGGAAATCCTTGATTAGGTATATAGCTGATAGGGCCTATGTTCTCTCTATCAGCTGGGCTCTCTCCTCTACAGCTTACCCATACCTGGTTCATCTATAACAACGAGGAATAACTTGTCAGTGTTTATATCTGGATATCCGTTTCAGAAGCCTAAATACCTCTCCTTCCTTTTGTTATAAAGATCACAACAATGAAGTTTTAGTTAATCTTGTTCAAATATAAAGCACTAACATTTTTGACACAAAATTTCACAATTTCCACATAGCCATAAACTATATTTACATATAAATCCTTGCCCTTTGAATATGCAAACATATGAAAAGATAGCATCAATAACCTGTCCTCAAGATCTTACATCATAATTAACCCGTGTAACTCCACCACTGCAGCAGCACAAAAAGAATCCAGCTCAAACCTTGCCATCCTTAAAAATTTGATTACCCTCATCTATTTTAGTATTTCCATACCTTCTTCTTCTTTATTAGGCCGTCTCCTTTACAGGAGGTTGGTGACATATTATGAACAGGATCCTTCCATCCTTTTCTCGGACTGGGACCTGTTCATATACGTTCTTGGCAGATGATCCAGAAGTGGTTTGCCATTGCCTTCTTCTGTGTGTGAATGGAGTAATTGTTGGAATGCCACGGAGAAACCGGGGAAGCCCCCGGAGGAAAACTCCGTGTTGCCTAGACCACGGCCTTGCCCAACACAAGTTATAAATTCGGGCACCGCCGGGAATCGAACCCGAGACCCCAGGATTACAAGACCAGCGTTCTAACCGCTAGACCACCGTGGCGGTCCATTTCCATACCTACAGTTTACTTATTAATATCCACTTTTAGGATCTTATTTTGTTAGTAAGAATCAATACACCCGAACCACCATGCAAATTATATATTTTTAGTGTATGTTAATGACTCTTAATGTATTTGAGCACCCAGAGATGGCATGTTTCACTCAAAATTTCTATATTTATTTATGTACTTTGTATGAAAGCATTCCTCTTGTATATAATGTTTTAACATTATATTGATTTTTTCACTTACTTCTTTAGGATTTGTTTTAAGTATGTGGGTCTTCAGATCATCAGGCATGTCTTCAGGTAGTTTATTCTTCTCATAGAACTCTGGCATCCAATCATAGATCTAGAAAGTAAAGCAGTCCTTGTCATGAAATAGGAACATGAACTTATATACAAAAGGGTTTTGAGTTCAAGGAAAACAATATCCAAGCAGTTTTTAACATCATTCAAACAATGTATAGCCTAGATTACATTATTTTATATTTGAAAATGTATTATTATACAATTTAATATGGTGCATAGTTCACAAATTATGAGAAAAGTATCTCAAGCTGGGGATCAAACCTGTGGCCAACAGGCGAGATGCAGCCTATGGCACCTCTTCATGTGGCCCTTTCAATGTATGAGTAACTTAAAATTGGGTCATTACTAGGCTAAAAAAAATTGGGGGAAAATGCCCCAGGCTCCTCAATTTAGTATCAAGGTATTTGTTTAATTTTGTGGCTTCAGTCAATTTAATTTGTTCAGCAGTGAGTTCTGTATTTGGTAAGATTATAATTTGAACAACAGTCACTGAAAATAGGTGGCTAAAACCCCTCAGTATTTTAGTAAAATAATGGTCAGCTACCTAAAAGAAGTGTGTGACTGCTCATAACAGTCTACAAATATTAATTATTCTATGTGTGCCACCTAGTTTGGAGAAGGGGAAATCACTTATCAGTTATTCTCCAACAGAAATGCAGTAATTAATTTGTCAACACTAATCTTCCACGTTTACGTTGGAAGTTGTGTGAGTTTTTCAAACATCAGTCAATCAACATCAATGATATCGCACTGTATTACAAAACTGAGTGATAAACTCTCATGCCAGCTGCAGTAGGTGTCAGAATTTTTCCAATGTTAATTGTTGACATGTATGTATCTACTTTAGTTTGATTCTTTTGAATGGAATTCTGACAGTTTTTGTCAGACAGAAATATAATTCTTCAGAAATTTATACGAGTTCTGTTCCTTCATTTTTATTGTTCAATGTGTAAGTACTGAGTACATTTTTCCAATATTACTTGCTTTGGGTTGTCTATAATGAAAGAAAGCTTGGCTACATTAAGCAAAAACACCTTATGTAAGTCTTTATATTCTTCTTTTTCCGGTTTAACAAAGTTTGTACATTTTCCAGTACCCTTTATGGGTCCCCAACTTTTTCAGTTGGCTCGATCTATGGACATTCGGTAGGACTCCTTGGACGAGGGATCGGCCCGTCACAAGGCCTCTACCTGTACGCAGGACAGCACAACACAGACAAACATCCATGGCTTGGGTGGGATTTGAACACATGGTCCCAGCAACCAAGCGGCACAAGACCCACACCTCAGACCGCACGGCCACTGCAGACCCATGTAAGTCTTTATAAAAAGTATAAAGTAGACTTTGATATTTTTCAAGAGAAGTGGAAAGATAAATATTTTTGTGTTCCTATGAATCGGAATGTCAGGGGTCTGAGAAGAGAAAATGTGGCAGCTTTGAAACGAAGGCTTGAATCACAGTAGTATGGCTTCAGTAAATAATCCATTGATAATTCCTCTATATTATAGAAAAGTTATCATGTTGTTGACTTGTTGGTTAAAGAAAGCAAGCCCTTTTCTGATGGGTAATTTGTAAAAAAAAACATGTTTGTAACACGGTACAAGAGATTTCTCTAGACAAATAAACTGTATTTAATACTTTAAAATAATGCAACCAGTTAAAGAAATTTACTTATCAAGTCAGAAACTAACAAAGGAATTGGAAAGTTTTTGCTCTGCTTGTGAATTCTACATGGTCATTTCCTTTAGTATTTGTCAGGTATTACCAAATAGGAATTCAACTCACTAAGGACTTCTGCTCATCTCACAGAGCCCAAGCTGTGACTCATATTTTCAGGGCAGTAAATAGCTGCATACACCAGATATACAGTGGCCTGCCAATTGGCTCTGTTGCTTTTCTTGATTTCAGCTATTTTCTCCCCATATCTCATTCTCAATGCCAAAGAGCTCAGACGATCCAAGAATTTGCTTCGGGGGACTGAAAGAAACACTAAAAACCTATCAGAATAGCCAGTATAAGGACTGAGATTTAAACACAGGACCTCCTAGATATGGAGCAGAATTGCTAACCACTTTGATACATGTGTTTCTTTATTTTAAAACTGATGATAATGTTTGTTCATATCCTTCACCACAAAATATCAGACAAAACAAAAATATTTGCATTATTCAATGTTGTAAGATTTGAGGTTTTCACAGCAGTGAGTACGAAGCTTTCTGTCTTCTGGGTTGTTGCACTGTGTAGTCTGGTCGATGTTAACCAACGTTTCAGAGGTCATACTGCCTCCGTCATCATCATCGCCCTGATGACGGAGGCAGTATGACCTCAGAAACGTTGGTAAACATCTACTAGACTACAAAGCGCAACAACCCTGAAGACAGAAATCTTCATCGCCCTGATGATGGAGGCAGTATGACATCCGAAACGTTGGTTAACATCGACCAGACTACACAGCGCAACAACCCAGAAGACAGAAATCTTCATTATTCAATGTTATTATTTTTCTGACTCTTGTTATCAAAACATTTATTCATAAAACCTTTATCATCAATACATCATGGCTTCTACACAATCCAGATGACTGTGTATTGCATTAACATACTGCTAAGCTGTTAATACCATAATTAAAGGTAAGCCAGCAGTCCTCTACTATAAGAGTTTAAATCCCTCTTTATGTATTATAAGACTTAAACAGATTAGATCCTGTTGTAACATAAATGTTCGTAATGTCTGATGAAGACAAAAATTCGGTACTCAGTATAAATACTAAACCATCTATATCCATTCATCCAAATCAGAGTCTTAGATGTGAGGTATGTAATATATAAGCGCACCCATGATTGAGTTTCACAACACTGAAATAGGCCACTCAGTGATTACGCTTACAGTATTTGATCTATAAAGATCAATACCAATAGATTTCAGTGATTTAGTTACACAATATTTGCTGGTATAGACCCAAAAGAAGAAGAGATGCTGGAATACCACGCCAAAGGTGGATTTTCTAGTAGCCGGAACAGGCCATCGGCCTAATCCATAAATTGGAGAAGAAGAAATTCTGCACACGGTATAGTTACGTACTTCTGTACTTTATTCGCCACTGCCTATCAAAAGTGATACCACCACAATCTAACTCTCTACACGGACAACACCAAATGTAGCAGCAGAGTGGTAAACATTTCTGCTTTGTATTTGGGGGTCCCAGGTTCAAATCTCAGCCCAGAAACTAGCTATCTTGATTGAGGTCTTTCAGTCCCTCCAGGCAAAGGCTGGAATTGTACCTTTATTATGCCATGACCACTTTCTTTCATATCTTTTCCAAATATTAATTCATTAATCACCCTGTAAATAGACACAATATGAATTGACAGCATCATTAAATAAAACATAAATAAATAAAATATTTATAGTTTAAAAATTAAATACTGGTTAAAGTCCGACAATCAAGGAAAAAGTACACCTTGAGAAGGAAGTTTAACAGGAAATAACTGAGAAGAGGGGATAAGTCTAAGCAATACACACTTTGTTAAGTTTGATGAAGATACACGGAGATGACCTGTTGAAACCATATCCCATCTCCCTAGTGCAGGGTTGAAACTTCTTCACGTTGACTTCACACACCATACCCTCCTGGGGAGGTCGATCAAAATCACATACTTGCTGATTCTTTCCTCCTCCAGGGAGTTTCTGCGGCATGCGGTAAGCTGCAAACACGATACTTTACAGCCGATCCTCGCAGAGATCATTACTCTTTTGCGGCCACTGGGTAGTCACATTGCCTTGAAGATGACAAAAGTATCTCCAAAACATCAGCATCATTGCCTACACTCACATGGTGTCATCACCCAGAAACAGTATCCAGTTTAGATATGAACCATTATGACAGCCTGTAACCTTCTAAATCAAAGTGTATTGTAATGTGATGTAAGAATGTTTGAATTACTATGCATGATGAAGTGCTTATGCAGATTACTGAAACTTCCATACAACTCAACGAGCAAACACTGTTCACATGTGGAAATTAATATCATAGCAGATTCAACAGAGATTCTGCCTGATGCTGTAATTCCATGATTTAAAGTGCTTTTTCACAAGTCATTCTCTATACTTACTGGTGTTTTGTTTCTTCCCTCTAAAAATACCGAAGAGATATATTTTCATCAATTTTCTCAAAAATGGGTTATTATAAAACTCATGAGTCAAGCTCGCCGAGCCAGACTCGCAATTCAGACTTGTACGTGGATGGGCCGCTTAACTCTTCATGTTGAAATGCACTAATGCTGAAGTTAGTTGGTTGGTTCAACAAAGAATGGTTGATATTTGAGGTTCTCACAATGATGAGTATGAAGATGGCTGTCTTCTGGGATTGTCTCATCTCAGAAGACAGACATCTTGTGTATAAAACTGCTTATGAAGGTTCACTGTAGAAATAAGTGCATAAATGTGTCTAATTTGGTTCTGTAACTATAAGATGAAATGTTTTTGAAATAGTATGTATGGAATATACCTCTACTGTTATTTAGATCTGCAACAATACAAATACAGGGCTAGTCTAAATAATGTTCCCGATTTGAAAGACATGCTACTCACGTTTAATGAAATTCAGATGCACAAAATTGGTACCGATGGAAAGAGAAACTCTCCAAGTTTATGTTGGTATACTTCGCGGCCGCGTAGTAACAGTGTTCGCCGCCAGGGGCGATGAGAGAAAATGGCTGCCGTCGAAGACAGGGGAGCCTTTTGTGTCCTGGATTTCTACGTTCACCGGTCTGTTATTAGTGTGCAACGGCATTTCCGAACCAAGTTTGCGACAGATCCACCCAGTGGGCATACAATTCGTAAGTGGTATTCCGAATTTAAGAAAAGGGGCTCCATCTGTAAGACAAAGTCAACCGGCCGCCCGTCAGTATGAGAGGGAACAGAGGAGCGGGAAGAACTCGACTACAGGCTGGATGTGTGCCGAGTTACCAAGGGTGCTCACATTGAACACCTGTGATGTACTAAAACAAAACTTGGAGAGTCTCTCTTTCCATCGGTACCAATTTTGTGCATCTGAATTTCATTAAACGTGAGTAGCATGTCTTTCAAATCGGGAACATCATTTAGACTAGCCCTGTATATCTGCAATAAATTACCATGAAGACCTATAAATGATACAAAATTATGAACAATTTAAAAAAATCTGTGTAACCAACCAGGAGCACAACTTTAAAAGTGAATAATACTATTTGGAAATGAAACAAAAATACATTTTATGGTGTGTATGTTTTCAATGAATAGTTTATCCAATAATTCAGATTAGATTTTAATGTAGGCATACCAATAAATTCATAACATCTAGGTGTGTAATTTCGTACCTTCTTAATTATAAAGTTTTAACAGTTTTTTAAAAAGCAATTATAATATAAAATTTTAATAATACATTTATACGTCTCTTTCATTGCATGTACAGAACAACAATCTCTCATACACCCAAGATTGGGGCATGTGGAAACATTACTGAAATTACAAAATGACACACTGAATTTATAATAAATTTAAATTGGGCATAATATGTTAATAGTTTTACAACCTAAGATACTGGCATACAATTAATATTGATCTGTTTTATATACATACGCTCTAGAAATTTGTCTAATTGATCAGTCCAGTGTCTGTAGTCACTTTCGTTTGCAGCTCGGTACCAAATCAGAGCTCCGCTGGATGCTTCGTATGAGATAGGCCGGAATCCAAGACCTGTATAAGAAACACGTGCTTTTTTGGAGAGCATATAAAACCAAGTAGTATAGATGAACCTGGGGTCCGCAGTGGCCGCGCGGTCTGAGGCGTGGGCCTTGAGGTAACTGGGACCGTGGGTTCGAATCCCACTCAAGCCATGGATGTTTGTCCGCGTTTTTCTGTGTCGTGCTGTCCTGTGTACAGGTAGAGGCCTTGCGACGGGCCGATCCCTCGTCCAAGGAGTCCTACCGAATGTCTATAGATCAAACCAACGAAAAGTTGGGACCCGCAGTGCTTAGGCACTTGAAGAACGGGTTGTTCCCAGTATCAAAGTAAGTATAGATGAACCTATATTTCATTAAGCAGGTCACGATGAACACGTAAACTTCCATATATTCTTACTTGACACTAGATGGAGGTGAGTTGTGAGCTTTATGCTGTGGCTGCTTCAACATCTAGTGAATATCAGATACAATATTTCTTAATACTGAATAAGAATAATTTAGTATTATTCAGTAATAAAAATTGTATCTGAAAATGATCCACTTTATTAATGTCTTACTTATAAACTAACAAGCCAGCCAACCAACCCACCCACGAATGACAAATTCCACTGAGCACACTACTCCTTGAGAAGATGATAGTCGCTCATCTTGTCAATATATTTTTCTATCTCAAGTCTGAAAGTTTTTGACAATGGTGCGTTGTTTAAGTAAATTGTTTTCTGGACATTATCCATCGTCCAAGATTAAATAAAATCAATAAAAACCACGACGTTTCGGAGATGGGAGATATGGATTAGCTCGTTTTGTGCTTTATCGATCAGGGCTCCCTAGATTCGGGGTCACGGTACCCCGCACTCAGCACACCACCCATTTGCACAGCCCTGATAGAGATAAAAAATAATTGTTTTTGTCTGATTATATTTATATATGCGTTTTTTAAATTTTATCATACTCTGGCATCTTTAAAGGGGCCTCGCAAGAGCTTAGCGCCTCGGGCCCCGAGAAATGTAAGTACGGGCCTGGGTTCAAGTGTTATTAATGGGGAATACACATGAACTGACAAAGGACCCCCACTTTTTTTATTAAAATATAGTAAGTAGCTTAAAGGAATGCTGAAAATAAGTAGGATTTGAGATTTTCACGGTGGTGAGTCTGAAGATGGCTGTCTTGTGGGTTGCTGAGCTCTGTAGTCAGGTAGAAGTTTACCAACATTTCAGTGATCCTTGCTACCACCATTATCATCGACCTGATGATGGAGGCAGCATGGCCACTGAAACGTTGGTAAACTTCTACCACAATACATGGCACAACAACCCAGAAGACAGCCAACGTTATACTGAAAATGTTTATAAAATAGAAATACCTGGATTTGAACCAATAAGACTGTCGTCCAATATGTATCTGGGTCGTTTGTCATCTATGACCCAAAACAAGCCTTGCATGCAGATAGCAAACATTGCCGCCAGTGCACCGAAGAAGGTCACATAAAAAATTAAGACTCCTCCTGAAACAGAAAGAAAAGGAAAAACGTGGTTTTCTCTCGGTGGCTAAACTGTCAGCAGAGCAAATGGGTCAGAGTTCTCATGGACCTGCATCAGCAGCAAGGTACATTAAAATGGGTAAGAAGTTAACAATAAACTTCAATCGAAAACCACCTAGAACAGTGACATATTTTAAAAATAAGAGGTGATATTTTACCATAACTGGTACTCATATCTTATTTCTTTAAGTGTATACATATTCTTTAAAGATGCTGCATTTAAATATTTACATGCCTTTAGCTCAATATTCGTCTTCTTCGCGAACACACTTTAATTTAGATAGAGATAGTTCCTGTAACTCCTAAGTGGAGCATAGGGCCTCCTTTCGGAGGTTTCATAGTCTTTAAAGCGTGCATTTAAGAGTAGTGAGTGACTAGTCCACTGACTGCACAAATTCTACTCACTCCTAATTTGATTGCCAGAGCCATCTAGTAGTGAAGCAGTGAATCAAGAGACTTGGTTGAGAAATGGCCGCTGAATTTTGCTTACGAAACATCTCGTATCATGCTCGCAAGGTTCTTTTACATGCCATAAATGTGTTGTGCCACGGATTTTTATCACCCTTAAAAATCCATCGACCTCGGCCGAGATTGAACCCGCGAACCTTGGGTCCAATAGCGAGCACACTAACCACTAGTCCACCGAGGGCGACACACTTTAATTTGGTGCACATTTAAGAGAATAACAGATAACTGTTTTCCTTTATGTAAAGCAGAAATTCATGTAATTTTTCCGATGTTGAATAAAATGTTTGTGCGAACCTTTAAATTTCTAAATAAGAGATATGTCGTTTCAAAACAACTGTCCTTTTTTATATATGTATATATAATTTAAATAACATATATGTTTGTTATTTAAATAAAACCTTTACTGTCAATAATGTAAATCATGAGTCACCACACAAATAAATAAATTAGCAAAAAAATTTCACTTTGTATAGTCCTTTTAACTCTGCCAAACGGCGAAAAAACAGAATTACATAAATTCCATTTATTTTATATACGAGGGTTACTTCAAAAGTCATGGCAAACACGTTATATTGAAGAAAGTTCAAAATATACATATGACAGGGCACGATATACTCCTCCGATTGGCGTAGTCAGATCAGGTAGGTGTGAAAGGGTGTAGGTATAGTGGACAAGAAAATAGGCACATTACGGAATTACCTTTTTTTCATTCTGTAATCCTCGAAAAATTCAGTTGTGATTAAAAAAAATTCACTGTGAGTTAAATCAGAATTCTTACATTAAGACTAGCAACCTTGAAAATAGTCTCCGAGTGTTTCAAGTACTCACTGCCAACGATGGGGAAGACGGTGAATACCATCAACTTCACCATCTCCAAATCTTTCCATCTCGCGCCGAACTGCGTCGGAAATGTCCTCTCGTGTACGAAAGCGTTTCCCTCGCAATAGCTGTTTCAATTTGGGTATTAAGTCATAGTCACATGGCGATAGGTCGGGTGAATGTGGAGGATGGTCACAACTGAATTTTTCGAAGATTAAAGAATAAAAAAAAGGTCATTCCATAATGTGCCTTTCTTCTTGTCTACTATACCTACACCCATTCACACCTACCTGCTCTGACTACGCCAATCGGAGGAGTGTATCGTGCCCTAACTTTCTTCAATATAACGTGTTTGCCCCCCAAAAATTAGTTGCCATGACTATTGAAGTAACCCTCGTAAAAGTACACAATGTTCCCTCTCGATTAAGCTCTATGCATATTAACACATTTACTTTCTAAGAACATTAAATATAAATATATATATTTCTTCCAGCTATCTCTATGGAAGTTCATGATAAAAGTAAACAACGAACAAGTTTCTCGGTTTAAAATTATACGTCGTTGAACGAAACATTACAGATCGACCCGGAACTAACCGGAACATGAGTCAATATCAAGACGCGTGCCGGAATTACAGCCACGGCACCGCGACTCTCGGTAGCAAAACATAATAGCAGAAAGTCAAGTGCAATTTAACTGATAAGATCACAGGACGAACAGTAACCTGCATTATCCACAATCAGTGACATCACTTCAAAACGCGTTCTAAAATACTTTAACACTCGTGTTTCATCCCATTCTTTACCACAGGAAAAGCTGCGTACAGTAAAATCTCGCTAACTGGAACTGGAAAGGTGGTCTTATTCTATATTCATAACCCTGGTAATGGAGGCAGAAAGAACCTCTGAAAGCTCGGTTAACTTTACCAGATTATACGGCAGAACCCAGAATACGGCCATTTCATATTCACGGCAGTGATAACCTGAAATCTAACCTTATAGAGGTCGCGCGAGTAGTCGTGGCACCTAAATGCGCGATGTGTAAGCCGAGAGAGGGGAGTTCAGTAGTAATGGGGGTCGCACAGCCTCAGCTGCGGTGACGTAGCGATCTAAACACAGCTAGAGCTACAAACCAACTGAAGCTGACACCCCTCTAGCGCGTGGTTTGGACGGGTCCAACTCATACGACCAAAATCAGTCCTTTGCGCAAGTGCCAGCACTTCTCGCTCAGCCTCTAGATACAAAGTTCACAAGGTAAAATTCATCCGTATCCTACCAGGATGTCATGTTAGAATATAACAGCACCGGAAGAAACAACAACAAAACCAAGAAGTATGGAGACCTGACAGTAGGAGTTAGGTTAAATGTTTTGTAACAAAAATAAAAGTTGTCGTTTAATAAGTTTCAACGTATTACAGACATATTCTCGGTACGGTACCACATAAATTTCCCTATATAGACAGGTATTTGTGCAATGCACGTTCCATTCCAGACACGTTTATCATGTATTAAACTCCCATATTAATTCTGATTTGTACATTTGTTCTTCATAAAGAAAGGGGGATATAATTCAGAATTGCTTAGGGTAATGCAATATGTACATCTAGGATGCATAAGCGTATATAAAAATGTGGAAAAGTTAAAATATTTTGGAAATACAATAAATAATCAAAATTACCTCACGCGACTTATTTCCATGTAAAATAAACCAAGATGAATTAAAAATACGTGGTACCAATTAAACCAGAAAAATACGATAGGATGGACCACCTACCCCTATCATCTTGAAAGATATCAGCTGAAAGGCGAAGAACTGTTACGTCTATCAAATTAACAGATCCAAGAAGCCATTACGCTTCAAAATGATTTTGTTATAAATTTCATCACTGACTTTGAGGTTAATAGTTCAACAGATAAGACGGTGATACAGTACTGCTTATTGCTAAGACTCCATTTGCACATTAACATCATCATATGCAGATAAAAAACAAATAGATAAGTTATGATACAGTGCAACCGACAGAAAACGTTCATTTGACATTTACCAATTTTCCCTTTATTTGAAATAAAATACTGGACAATTAACAAACAATTTAATTGGGTAGTACTTGTAACAAAAAAACAAAATCACACAAACCGATTCACATTTGAATCGTACACAGCGCATGAGATGACATTAACAACTCAGAATGAAGGTAGATAGTCTGGTACATAAGAACAGACATTTCAGAGAAACTTACTGCCTCCATCATCAGGGTGATTATCGCCCTGATGATGTGGACGTTGCAACTGCTGATGTCGGTAAACTTCTAACAGACTACACGGCTCAAAATTGTACAAAACAGACACCTTCATGATCATCACAGTGAGAACTTAAATTCAAGAGCTGGTGTTTTTTCGTTTTCTCAGATCCATAGAAATCCCAAATTTCCGGAATACCAATGAGGAATGCTAACCACTATAATACATTTTTGGGCTATAAAGTTATTTTGAACTGTCTGTTTTCTGACTTGGAATTTCGGGAGACAAGTGCTGCTACAGTCAGCAGAGCTAGTTCAGGTACGATCTAGAAACACACGTGTCGGCGCACTGAACTTCCTTGAAAACCTGGTACAAGGTGTGTAAATGAACACACTATCTCACGCAATAATTAGCGTGTGTGACCTAACTGGGACACTAGTTCAGAACGGTAGTGTGTGGCACAAACCGATATCTACGTGTTTACAGCCACACACTAATAATTAGCATTGTCTATCCTCCATGTACTGTAAGCGATGTGACTCCTAAATATGGTGCTACAACATGCGCATTTACTGAACAGTAGTAATTCCACAATAACTTAGAAGTGCGCAAAGCGCAAATTTTCAGGTGCGTTCGCATCCCTGCGGAGCGCTTATTAAAAGCCGCTTGGCGGACGAGTTATCGACAGGGTCACATTGCTGCACTGTGCACATATTACGAGGTTCGAAGAACTGATAGCGGCGTCAACTGACACTACGAGTGTAATCACAAAGAAGTTTCAAGATGAAGTGCAAGGAATCCTGTTACGTCCACCTGCTTTCTCTTTCTAAAAGTCACGACGCCTGCTTTCTCCCCGAGTCGCGACGCTGGCACCGTATGGAGTAACATTGGGTCCGCCTGCATGTCTGTCCAAGCTCGCTGTCATGGCTCTGCTTCAAAGTGGAGCAAATCACCAGAGAACGTGTTTCCATTCCTGACATATTTATTATCTCTTGGCCTGGGAAGTTAATAACCAAAGTAAACTCCGTTTGAAAATGCAACGTTTGTTGAATGTTAAATGTAAGTGTTGGATCTAAGTTACAGCTGTGCTTTAAAAGTTAACATGGGTAGTGGTATAATAATCTGTTCAGTGGTATTCATGCACATAAACTTGAGCTTACAGCATGAAAGTAAACAAATTAAAGCCAGTAACTACGTACGAACACCAAAATGATTCCAGGGAAGTTCAGAGCAGAAACGGAAATAGTAACCGGATACTTCGCGTCCTTCGCAAGTTTATAAACAACCCAGTAGACCACCACGGATTTCAAAATAAAGTTCAAAATGCGATATCCGAAATTCTTTCAGGGGCCCTTGTTGTCTCCATCATCAAGGCGACCTCTGAAACGTCGGTTAACTCGCAACAACCCAGAAGACAGCCATCTTCAGACTCGCCGC